ATAATCTCCTGCCTCTTTTGTCTGTAGCTCACTATTATTTGTCTATTTGTTTTCCTGAGAAACTATCTTGTAGATAACAATATGTAAAACAATAACCATTGATAATTTCCTACCACTTTGTCTGTAATTTGGTAAGCCCCCCTATTATTATGTTATCCTTCTTTTACTCTTTAAAATAAAATTAAAAAAAAAAAAAAGAAGCAGGAGATCATCAGGGGACATGTGATATGAACTCAACACCATAAACCACCCAGACCTCACCAGCACCTATGGAACAGCTCAACCCCCATAGAACATACATTCGTCTCACCTACGCTTGGCATGTCCTCCAAGACCGACCCGTAGGAACCATGTGTGAGGCGTAAAAACACAAAAATATTGATAAGCATAGCAATAGACATGCTGATCGGTAGGAATATGGGTACCTTTAATGTTTCATTTTGCTTTGCTTTGATTGCTAATTTTCCTATAATAACATATTGCATTTACAAAGAAAGAAAATGAGCAATACAAAAGAACTGATGACGAATGGTGCAGAAGCATGAACCCAGAGAGACAGGGAAGCTTGCTTCCTCTCACGTGGACTACTGAATATTCACCACACAGCCTGAGACTGCTCTAGCCATGCATGTAGTATCTCAGGGCCTGGATGGCGCTGAAATGTAGGCAAATCAGGCCAAGGCCAAGCCAGTACCCCGCTTAGCCAACCTCAACCGCATCGCATCTCCCTACCGATGCATCGAGGATCCCTGGGCCCCGCCTGCCCAGGCTCCTTCAGGCCAGGACGCTGGGGTGGTCTGCAGCCACCTGTACCAGTCAGGACACGTTTTTTCTACCTCGGTCCCTGTCCTTCACCTTGAGCCAACTCCAAGACAGGGAAGCCAGAGGACACTGGGGACAGGCAAGCAGTGACCACTGGTTCCGCGGCTTCTCAGAGCCCAGACATCCTTATTCGTCACTGCCACGGGGGCCTCCAGCCCCAGCAGCGCCCGTCACTTCGGGATGTGCCCGCCACACCTGCTCCTCCCTGGTGGCTGAGCCCCTTCCTGGCCTTGCCAACCCCCAGGACGTGGACAGAACTGCAGCCTCCGCCTGAGGACGCCCCAGGCCTTTCCCTGATCCCCGAGGGCTGCCTCCTCTGCAGACACTTTGTGACACTTGTGTTCCAGCCTGCGCACAGCTGTGACACCTGAAGCCTCCGGATGCCACTTTAGGAAGGAGACCTTGCCCCACACTGCCGGTGCTGCTGGCCGGGCCGAGCATGAAAATCAGGAGGCTCAGCACCCGGATGCCCGGCGGGTTGGCCGTCTCTTGGTCACCTGTTCTGTGAGCCTGACTATCCTATCGTGGGTCACCTGGGTCACCACGCCCTCATAAAGAAACGTCACACAACTGGGAAGGGATGACAGCACCAGCCCTGCAAACAAAAGCGTGAAAAATCAGAAACTAAATGAGAAAGGAACACTGGCGCCAGCTGGGCAGGTTGCGTCCTGAAAGCCCTTGGGTCAACTATGGGCAACTGAGGGGGTTCACAGGCTCTGGTGGTGTCCGGTGTCCGGGTCAGCAGTAAAACAGTTCTGAGAGCTGACAGCAGTCAGGGAAGCCTCGAGAGGTACTGGAGCAGCAGTGGCCCACACCTGAAATCCCTGTCCCAAGGGAGGCTGAGGCAGGAGGGTCACCAAGAGTTTGAAGGTAGCCTGGGCCACACAGTGAAACTCTGACTCAAAAACAAAAGGAACTGACCAACCCTAAAATTTGGCCTGCTGAGTCAAGGTGGAAAGGAGAGGGCAGGTCTCAACGCACCGGTTGCACAGGTCTGAGCTGGGAGAAAGCTGGGCGATGTGGCCCAGCAGGTGCTGGTGGCCAAGGGCCAGGTGAGATCAGACGAGCTGGGCAGGGGTGACATATGCTCTCCCGGGCGCAGCTGCACCTGCAGGCCTCAGAATACCGCTGGGCCTGGGGCTGGGAGATAGCCAGCACACACACACCCCCCACACACACACACACACGCACTGCTTGCTCCTAGAGGGCCCCAGGCCCACGCCCCTTAAGGAGAGGGCAGGAGCAGCCCAGGGCAGGGGGCGTGGCGTGGCGCGGCTCCTTGGAACTCCGGTCCTCACTGCTATAGACTATGTAAGGCTGAGATCCGGTGGGCACCCTCCAACTTCGTTTTCGAAAGTGTGGCTACTCTGGTTGTGGCTCTCCAGAGATTCTGAAATCAGCGGTACGTTTCTACAGAATTCCACAGGGATTTCTGACCAGCGTTCTGCTGAATCTGTGCATGAATTCTGATTGAACTGGTATCTTCATACCGAGTCCTTCACCAACAGGGTGTGGTGTATCTTTATTTTTCTTTTAGGCCTTTGACTTTTAACAGCACTTTACACTTCCCAGCACTCAGACCTTATAGGGGAGATACTTTCATGCTTTATGAAGACCACTGTAAGGAGCTGGGGATGTAACTCAGCGGCACAGCGTCTGCCTGGCAAGTGCAAGGTCCTGAGTTGGATTCCTGGTTAAGAAAAAAAAATCAGCGTAAGAAGTAATTTTAACACTTCAGTTTCTAAATGTTCACTGCCGCTAAGTAGAAGTTCAACCAACTTTTGCATTCTGACTCTGCTAAACCTATTAGCCTTAGGGTAGCTTTCTTTAAATTCTCCGGTGCCAGGCATGGTGGCGCATGCCTGTAATCCCAGCACTCAGAAGGCTGAGGCAGGAGGATACTGAGAGCTCAAGGCCAGCCGGGGCTACACAGAGTTCCAGGCCAGGTTGAACTACATAGCGAGACCCTGTCTCAAACAAAAAAATCGCTGGCTTTCCTGCTGTACAGGCGATCATGTCATGTACAAATGGCCGTGGCCTTACTGACTCACTTCCATCTGGGTGCCCGCCTTACTGTATAGCAACCTCTGTACAGTGCTGAGACAGAGTCTGGTTCCAGTGCTGGAAAATACTGTCTCACCCGTTACCAGGTTTATTCTTAGTTTGCTGTAGTTATTTGGTTTTTGGTCGTAAGTGGCTACTGGATTTTTTTCCCATCTTTTGGGGAGAACTGCATGAGATAATTCACGTGCCATGTTACTCATCCTTTCAGGGATGCAGTGTGAAGTTTTTCTATATTCACTGTCATTTTCCGCATTGTTTGAGATGATCCTTTAGTTTTTCTTTTGTGTATTATTGAGTTGCACTTATGTCTTTGAATACTGGATCAACCTTTTACTCCTGGGATAGTCTTTTCTTGGGTGTGACATTTTCTTTTAATATACTGCCAGATTTCATTTGCTAATAAAAAGTCCCTGTGAACTTAGGTAGTACCGTGCATACACTTTTCTTACTGCTTTTGAGTAGAAACCAAGAATGTCTTAAATGCTGCCCCAAATTTACCATTGAGAAGGAAGTATTTAATTTTTTAAAACGTCACTATTCATCTGGCTCAGTGAGAAGTGCTTTCTGGCAGTCACAGGCCTCAGAGTCAGTCTCTATCGCGAAGGGGAAGTAGATTAAAAGTACAGTTGGCATTCGATCTACCGATAACGATAAAGTGTACATGGAAAAAAAGCCTTAGAAATAGAAATAGAAATAGAGAAAATAACCCCAGTAGTAAAGATGGTAGCTGATCTGCTTCCCTTGGCCTGGAGCGGCTGCCCCCAAATTCCCACCTAAGACGGTTAAGGGGAGCAGCGAGACCAGAGGCAGGGCTAGGTCCTTCACTTACAAACTCAGTTCCTTACTAGTGCTACAGAACAAAAAAATACAAACCTTTCTAAAGGCATTTTTATTCACGTTTTACGTAAGACCGAGAAAGTATCAATTATTAAATACCAAGAGGGGAGCTCACGCTGTGTGCCCCGCCCACCCTTCCACTGCTGTTTGGATTGTGGGCCATGCACCAAGACTCCAGTTCCTCTCCCCCCTGGAAACTGAGGAAGGTGCGCATCAGGAGGAGGTGAGGCTTCCACTCTCAGAAGTGGATAAGGAAGATGGTTTTCTCATTTCAAAGCAATCCGTGTTGGTGAGCGTGGTGGCGCATGCCTGTGTTCCTAGCGTTCGGGAGGCTGAGGCAGGAGGATCGCCATGAGTTCAAGGCCAGCCTTAACTGTGTGGCAAGACCCTGTCTCAAGAAGGAAAAAAAACAAAACAAAGAGCCCAAACAAACAAAAAAACAATTTGTGTTAATGATAACTGGATAGAGTTCTCTTTTCAGCTGGATGGTTTCAGAGTTACCTCAAACTTACCTGAAAATCAGATAATTTAGAAGTTTCTTGCATGTTGAGTAGTTAAAGAAAAAAAAAATGCAAAATGTTTTTACAGAATAGTATAAATGTTTATTTTCTGTATGATTTACTTTCCTGTCCTGTTTTTTACAATATAGAAAAGAGTATTCTTTGAATAGCTCTAGTAAATATAAATTTAATCATTCTATCTTGGGATGTAAATAGAGCTAAAAAGTTATATACCCAACACTCCCCAAATAGTCTTTTAAAATGGTTTGAATGAGCCAGTGGCTGTTAATCTGGTTCAGCAATTTGATGCAAAGGCCTAGATACAAAAAGTTGTTTAGTAAGCGCTGCACAGGAAGAAAAGGGCTTCATACTGAGATAGCCTCTTGAAAATCAGAAACTAGTAGCATTTGATTGCACCTTCGAATTTTTACAAGCAAAACATTCTTGTTTTACAAGCAAAACAAAATGCCATCATACATAATCTACAATTGTAATCAAAATTTCACATTTTCTGCACACTGTATATAAATACACATCACAACGGTGCAATTAGAATTAACACAGAATATATACAAAATGAACAAAGTTTATGTTTAGACCAAAAACTTATTGCAATTTTTGAAAAATAACTTGATTAGATATTTTTATCCTCTTACACTAATTTACATTTATACAAATTTCAATGAGGCCTACTAGATTGAGGTGCTAGGAATGCCTGCACTATCTACATTTAAAGTTACTGCACTATACTTTTATAAACCCAGATTTCAAAAGGAGGAGGATACTTTAATGAATAACGGAATCCTCTTTTGGATTACTTAATTTCTATTGCCTATATCTTGCATGTTCATGTGAACATATATACACACTTAATACATACAACTATAGAGTCCTTGTAGGAGATATAATGATCATATGTACTGATAATTACTGAGGATTATGGTACCTAACAAAACGTCTGAATTCCAACATGGTTTGTTTTGTCATAAAATCAAGAGTCCTACTACCATAGGCCCTTAAACTCACAGTCTAATTTCTGAAAATGATTTAGCCTATTTTACCAATTACATGAAAACACACACACCCTCAGCTTAAGAAATCACTGGCTAAAAACAATGCCATCATAAACTTCCCTTATAGAAAGAAATTCCACTACAACTTTGAAAGCTTTGTTACTGAGACCTACGTCAGTAAACCAAGTACAAGTCACATGTTGGTCTGAAAGTTCTTAGTTCATAAATCTACAAAGACAGCTGTATAGAGAAAAATCCTTCCTTAAATTCATCTCTTACAGCTTCAATATTCCTTATTTCTCCATCCCAGCTAAATTTGATACTTGATTATATGAAGTTCTATAATATCTCTACATCATTTTTACTTATATTCACACACCTCTCACTTTACTGGTAGCCAGTAATCACTCTGCCAGCCTAATTCCAGCACACGCCATCCCCGGACAGAACACGGAGACACCTTGAGCGCTCCCCGCCACTCGCTATAGAAACACACTGTACACCTTCTAAAAATCACCTCCTGTCCCTTCATCTGTGTGCATGTGCGAAAACCAATTTTCATTTAAAAACTGTGCCTGGGGATTACTTCCTCCTTTCCTACTCCAGAATCCAGCTGGAAAAAGCTGTTTTTTCTTTAAAAGAGTGCTTTTTGCAACACAAGTGCCATCTAAATACATTCCATCAGAATTTCTATAGACCTTCTACCTGCGTATATTCCAGAGTGACTGCACGGGCCTCGCGCTGCTTTGACTTTCTCTACTGAACGAAGCCATACAACACCACACGTTATAAATTCCATAATTTATAAAATGCTCCTTCTTGATAGGATCAGAAAGAACATCTGATTCTTAAGAAACCCAAGCAAATTAAAAATCTACATAATACAATAAAAATTAAAAAGAAAAACTCAATTTAGAAGGGGTGTAGGCAGAATTAACTAAGATTTAAAATGTCTGAATTTCGTTTAAAATTTCTTCTCTTTCAGTATTATAATTTCAGGTCTCTTAAAACAAGGACTGAGTTAAAATACAATAATCGTTAACTTATCATCTAGAAAGTCAAGTGTCCCTGCACCCTGCGTTTTCTGTACAGCTCCACTCCCCCGTCTTCCATGTGCAGGTCAGCAGTTCATGGCGCACGGGTCACTTTTTGCTTTTCCTGCAGAGTTGATGACGCTCATCAGACAGCGCCCGAACTCCTCCAGTATCATCCGCTCGGCCGCAGCCTTTGACTTCCCCTTCTTGTCCGCTTGCTCTGCCTGGGCAAGCAGGCAGTTACACGTGGCCTCGGCTACTTCCTTGGTGACAAAGGTGAATGGCAACCTGAAATGGTATTTGGGAGAGAGCGAGAGAAGGTGGTGATGCCTGAGTGACAACGCCAAGGTGCTTGGAAGCCTGTAGCACCTACACCCTGGCCACACACAAATACCCTAAAGAGCTTTGGAGGCCGGGCATGGTGGCATATGCCTAGAATCCCAGCTGGGGAGGCTGAGGCAGGAGGATCGCCGCAAATTTGAGGCCCGCCTGGGATACGTAGTGAGTTCAAGGCTAGCCTGGACTACACAGTGAAACCCTGACTCAAAAAAAAAGAGCTTTGCGGTCATACTGGGTTTATCAAGGGCATATGCGGTGGTGTACATCTGTAATCTTAGCACTGAGGAGGCTGAGGCAGGAAGATCATGAATTTTAGGCCAACATGGCCTATACAGTGAGACCTTGGTCTCAAAAAACACAAATCAATCAGTCAATTGATCATCAATCCAAAATAGCCTCACAGTTCCAGATTTTAAACACTCAAAAAAAGGTTTATTAACATGCTGATGTAACTTTACAAGGGTTTTTTTTTTTTTTAAAAAGTTTTCATTGTATTGTATAACCTCATGTTTGCACTTCATATCATGAAGATTTCCAGGCCAGGGATATAGCTTGGTAGCACAGGTGCCTGCCTGGCAAGCACAAGGTCCTGAGTTCAATTCCCAGTACCCGCCCCTCGCAAAAAAAATTTTCCCAAGTGGAAAAATGTTGTGTTTTACCCTAGTAGTACCTTTAATTTCCAAAGAAGATCAGACTCAATCATCTAAAAGATTATTAAAAGGTCAGCCACGGTCCCTGTCCTAACCCTAACTGACCTGTCTGCACATTTCCATTTACTTCCATCAGGAAACATCTGTGCAGTACAGGTGTGAGTGTTCTTTAGAACTAACTGCTGAGCCGGGCATGGTGGTACACACCTATAATCCCAGCACTTGGGAGGCTGAGGCAGAAGGATAGTTCTGAGTTCGAGAACAGCCTGGGCTACAAAGTGAGCTTAAGGCCAGCCTGAACTGCAAAGTGAGACCCTGTCTCAAAAAGACCAAAAAAAAAAGAACTAATTGCTGAACTATTTTGTACAGGAAGAAAGCCTTTTGTTTATTTTTTTAATGGTACTAAGGATTAACCCAAGGGCCTTCACACTGAGCTACATCTTCAGCCTTTTAATTTTTTTTCAATTTGAGACAGGGTATCATATTGCCAAGTCTCTTGGTTACCCAGGCCTATTTTGTGATCCTCCTGCCTCTGCCTCCTTGAGGGCTAGGATTACAGGTGTGTGCCACAATTGGCTAAAAGCCCTACTTTTACAAGCACTAGATCTTACTTCAACTTAGAAATACATTTACAGGGCTTACTCCACTTAATTTTTCAAACTAATCTATAAAAGAGACTAAATAAAAGACTACAACATTAGAATATGATGGGTAGCCCCCAGGATGGGAAAAGTGTTCCAAGAACACAAAAAAAAAATAGGTAAGAAAATGCAAAACTATGAGTAGCTATCCTCACCAAAAAAGGTGTAAAAAATTTGCCTTTTTATAAATTACATAGGTACTGCATCTTAGCAGGGAGAAATCTAATTAAATTAAGCACAGCAAACTGAAGCATCACTTTGTATTTCGGAATTGCAAAATGTATCTGACAGTGATTTTTCTGCTATCCTTAAATTCTTTTAAAAGCAACTAAAATGAAAAGAAATATAAAATTCAGGTTTGCAGCAATCAAAAGTATGAACTCGGTTTTGCATCCCCCAAAAGAAACCTTACCAAAAATGCAGGTCTGAGAAACAGCACGTGTTAGAGGCTGCGGACTTACTTTCCTCCCCCGCTGCTCAAGGCTGGCGCGGGCCTGGTGAGCAGGTCGGAAATCTGAGAGGACAGCTTGGTCTTGGCCGCCGTCTGCTGCTGCACCCTGACTTCGGCCGCGTCTGCCAAGTGCATGAGTGTCTTTCTTTCTGGGCTTTCTTCAAAATTCTTACAGCCAATACACTTGCAGATCGAGGAACACATTATTTTTGCCTGAAAGATGTACAAAAAGTTTCCAAATCAAAATCTATAAGCAGATGCAACAATCAAATCAACAGACAACATTACGGGGCCAACTGACGTAAGATTAGACGGAAGCACCTTTTGCGACAGACTAAGGGGGCTAACTCCACACGCGGAGGGACGGGACAGCCCGCACACCGCGCACGTCCTTTCCCGCCAACTCTGCCCGCGGTAAGGACTCGCCCTCACTGGGAACGCACAGCTTCTCCGTCAGGAGCGTGAATGAGACACTAAGGTATCGCCACCGACAGCCACTCAGAACCCAGCCACCTCAGCCCAACTGCCACTCACATGCCAGTGACCACACGGTTTTACACAAAAGGGGTCTCACGCACACTAGGGCGGCGATGGCAAGCCTTTCAGACCACTCAGTAACGCCCGCTGTGGCACGCGCGCGACAGGTGCACCACCTCTGTCGCGGCTGCACTGGCTGTCAACCACTGTAACCTAGGAATCAAGCCAGGGGTGTTTTACCACGGAGCTACATCCCCAGCCCTGTGTATTTACTATTCTGGGGACAAGGCCTCCCTGAATGGCCCCGGCTGGACTCGAACTCGGAAATCAGAGCCAGAGCAGCTGGGAGTGCAGGCGTGCGCCTCCACGCCTGACCCACGCGCTGCGCTGACTGCACACACTTTCTCACTGCACCGCCTTCCGGCTCCAGGCCCCGAGCCCTCTGGGCCCAGGAAGCAGTGTGCTCTGCCGTGGAAGAACGTGAAATATACTCATGAGACGCAGGCCTTAGGTCCGGAGAGCAATTAACAATTGTAGAATTCTCCCTCTGAGCTTGTTTTACACAATCACGTGCCTATCTTTCCACAGCTGCTTTCAGTACACGCCGAGAGCTCACGGGTTCCTCCTGCCTGTCACCTGCGGAGCTGGGATGCGTTCTGTTTAGTGGCTGGGTGGGATTCCTGGTGTACGTAATGTGACACTTTATTGGGCACTCATTCCTCCACTGATGGGTATTCTAGTTCCTGGGCAACACACATAATGCATGAAAAGATTCTGGAGTGGGTAAAAATGATAGTGTTATTTTTCTGAGATAGATTTTTAGAAAAGAATTCCCTGGGCTAAGGTATGTGTTTCTGAATTTTAAGAGATGTGGTCAGACTTTTTTTTCAGCTGTACCACTTCACATTTCATCACCAGTATATAAATTAAGACTTTCCTATATTCCCTATAACAATGGATGTAATGACTCTTTAGTATTTGTCAGTCTCACTGGGGAGAGCATCGTTCTTTACATTTCCCTGACTGTTACAGAATTCTTCCCATGAAAATTTAAATGAAATTACTGCCCTATCTCTATAGCACCTAGCAATGTAAACTGACCACATTATGAATACATTTACCCCACTCCTTTGTGCAGGAGAGTACTGAGGGTTGAATCCAGGTACTCACTCTATCACTGAGCTACATCCTTAACCCCATCTGTCGTGTGTCTGTCTGTCTGTCTGTCTGTCTTATCTATGTGACCCTCCTGCCTCAATCTCTCTTGTGCAGCGATTACAGGCGAGCACACCACCACACCGAGCTGTCCTGCTTCTTTCCTGCAAGGCACAGATGAATGCCATTTTTATCAACAGATTAATGGCTGCACACGTGCATTACTTGGGTTATTGTCAGCCTGTGTGGGAATCTGGCCAAATGACACTTATTAAGCCTCTAAAGATGAAGAGAGAAAAATCCCTGGCCTGGATGCAGGGGGACGAATGTATCAGTGGTGGTAATTTGGATTGGTTTTTGGTTTTTTGGGGGTGCTGGGAGTCATGCCCAGGGCCTTACACACACGAGGCCAAGCGCTTCTCCACTGAGCTCCATCCCTAGACCAGAACTGTATTTTAGGAATCACAGGAAAGATACCAATGAATGCTAAAAGGAGCTCAGGCGAGAGAAACAGCAGCAACAGGGCACCCACTCTGCTCCACTGACTCCTCTCAGGGAGTCCAAGACACAGCCATTTAAACAAGGCGGGCGGCCTATGCTGCAAGCATGAGAAAGGGCCATGAACGTGCTGCTCGCACGCCAACCAACCCAGCTGAGAAGCCAGCCATGCGGCCAAGGTGTCGAGGTAACAGACTTCAACACGAGCCATGGGACAACATGGGAAATGCACGGTGCTCCAACCAGCCACTGCCGTTTATAGTTCAGCACGTCCCGTGCTCTTCTGCCCCGTGACTTTGGGGTAACACAGCTGCTGGGCACTGGATCTGTTCCACGGCCTTTTCTACATCTATTAATCCACAGACACGTTAACCAGTTCAGGAAGCGAGTAGTTCCAGGATGTCTGAGTTTCACAGGCCCGGCCCGTATGGACTGAATATGACAGGGTTTCGCGTTTACCACCTAGCATTATAACAATTTCCACCTTTCACCTCGTTATGGACTTGGTTTGATAGCCGCCCCACCCCCCAATCCAAACCGCTTGTTAATGTTCACATACTCATGACAGATTTTGTATGATGTGGTTTAAACACAAGCCTATTCTGATCAGGCTTCAAACAGAAGACATAGTCAAAATATTCTAGGACTGGATAAAAACCTTGGTGAATTTTGAGATGTTACTTTCAAAAAGTCTTCATTTTATACAATTTTTACTCGCACTGACTGTAGAACTAACAGAATGTCACTGTATTATCCTACCCTACTTTATCTTTTATTTGGTAAACCTGGGCAGGATTCATCACACATCTTTTTATAACACATCTGATGGACGTCAAACTGCAGGACACACCTGACCGAGGGGAGGGGACCACTGGTGGCCTTCCTGCCAGACTGAAAGGAGTCCCCTGCTGCGCGTGAGCTCCGAGAGGTCGGAGAGCTGGATGAGAAGGCCGGCGGTGAAGCCTCCCGTGTGCCGGGAAGCCCAGGGTGGGCAGCAGGACTAACCTGCCCACCAGCCTGGTACATGAAGCTTTAACGATGAAATACACGGCTGCGTTTTGTCTGAAGTGAGGGGGCAGCTACTTCCTCCAGGGAAGACGGCTGGCCCCCAAATGCAGAGCCTGCTGCTTGTGATAGTGACAGCGAGAATGGACGCGGTCAGCTCAGGGGGCCAGGAACCCCCCAGCAATACTCCACCTCCTCCCGTCACTTCCACGCTCACGAGGCAAACTCTAACAGAACTTCCTGTCCACAGAGCGCTGCTCCTGAAGAGCGCACTGCTGGTGTGCGGTCGGGACAACCCCTGTTCGCAGGGCGGCGCCTGGAGCGCAGGCTGTTGCACATGTGCGTGTATCTCAGAAAAGCCCATGGAGAGCAGCACGTAGCGCTGACGCTTGGCTGGAGACACCACTGTAGTCTGCCACCCTCTGACCCCGCTATTTTTACTGACACTCCACGTGCAGGTGCTGTGGTGCGCACGCCTCCCGTCATGACGCGGCAGGCTGGCCCCGAGACTCTAGCCGTCCCGGCAAGCACAGGCTCGCTGCCCTGAAGCCCTGCTTCCTCCTCAGCCAGGGCCGAGACCAGCTGTGAGACTCCCACCCGTCACCAAGCCTTGCGCGGTTTTCTGAAGGCGGTCAGGAGACACCCCCGCCGCAGCTCACCTCGTAGCACTCGCAGTAGTTCTTGAGACACCCCGAGCGCTTGCAGTTGCAGCCCTTGCTGTGCCGCCGGTCGGACTCTCCCTCCTTGCCCTTCCCGATCTTGGGCTTGAAGGCTTCTGGGTTTCTGTCTAGGCAGGCCTGCCACACAGAATGAAGTCACACACACTATGCATGCACACTGCACAGGTCATTACACCGTTCTTTATAAGACAACGGGGTTTTAAAAATAAAACCAAGAGAAACGAGATTTTTGTCATATGAATGAAAAATAATCACCTTAATTGCTTTTTGCCTTTCATTTTCATGTTCCAAATTGTTGTAACAATTAGTACAATTGCAGTTATTGCAGAATTCACCATTTGCAAAGCAGTCACAATATCTGGAAGGTAAAAAGCAGTCTAAGATTAAGTCACTGAAATAAAGCTAGAAACCAGCTCACTATTTACACACATGCATAATGCATGTGGTAGAGCTCTCAGAAATAAATGCACCCAGCACCACCTAGTAGCTGAGTTAACAAAACACATTGCCAGACTCAAAATCTAAATCTCCAATCCCTAGAATCTGGGCCTAGAAACTTACTCTAAATACTAACAGCTGCCAGCATTAGAGCTATAGGATTTTATGCGTCCCCAGGTGAGTTATTTCAAAATCCTAAGACAGGAAAAACATCCCTTAAGAAGCCAGAGCAGCGCTGCTTTGGCTTCTGAGCCCCTCACACACAGTGCTGCTCCCGAACGACCTCATCTTCTAGCTGAGCGCTGCACACCAAACCCGAGGGTCATGAGCGCCTGTCACTAAGGACACACCCGGGCCTGTCTTGTGTGGCGTGTCCCTAGCCCATGACTCGGGCATCACGAAGTCATCCAGACCATGTCCTCTCATCCCTGGAAACACACTTCCGCACTGCTGTGTGTGTGCATACATGTCACTGTCCATTTAAATTACTTAGACTTATGAAATCGGTCTGTTAAGAATTTAAATTAGCTCTACTTAGAAAATAGAAAACACACTTACAATTTCAAACACAGAGATTTGGTACAATTACAGGGCTTTCTGGGCCGACTGGCAGACTCTGATGGGATTATCCTATACAAACACACAAAAATACACATTTTAATCCATGAAACATAACTACAACTATAAAAGTCTCCAATCTATAATGTTCTCCTAAAATAAAGCTTCAACAAATGTATCCATCGCTAATAAAAGCCTGCTATGTTATTCCATGTAAATACATATTTTAAAGTTATCAATAACTGTATAGAACACTCCTCAAATACCCTTCCTTCTGAGAGAACAAAAGGGGGAAACAGCTCAAAACCTTGGGGTTCAATTATACAAGACAGCGAGGGGAAGGCGATGGGAGGCACCAGGCTTCGGACAGGGACAGGTGCCCTGGCACTGCTGCCAGCCAGACGCAAAGGCAGAACCAAGACGTCAACCAACGGAACACAAACCAAGAGCCTCACCTAATTTAAAAATAGTTAACATTACTTTAAAAACATATTCAGCATGAGAGAGAGAGAGAATAAATGTGGCAAAGTTGGTGAATCTGAATAAAGGGCACCTGGAGTTCTTTATTTCTGTAACTTGTCTGTTTAAAGTATTTCAAAATAAAAAGTACTTTAGAGGACTGTTCTTATGGCTTTAAGGGAAAAAAAAATCAAATACGATGTGTTTTGGAATAAATATACTTAATGCTGGATTTCAGTCAATTCAACAACCTAACACACACGTTTTCAAAGCACTCACCCGTTGAATGGAAGCCTTGCCTGGGTCTGGATCCCAGATGTCCCAGTGAAGGTAGAGTTGCTAGCTATGGACACGTACGAAGACTGCTGCAGCTGTGTGTAAAGAAGGTGAGTTAAGGTCAAATCTGAAACATGGACAACTCTCTCAGATGCAGATTGTGAGAAGCACAAATTCATCTACCAAGGTAGAAAACAATATAATGAAGAACTCATACAAACACCTACTTCCTGCAAGCGTTTATTTTTTTGAGACAGGGTTTCATATGTAGCCCAGGCTGGCCTCCAACTCAAGATAAAACCTTCTGCTTCAGCCTCCCTAGTGCTGAAATTGCAGGTATGTACCACCATGCATAGTTTTATGGAGCTCTTTTTAACACTAGAGGTGAAATAACCTGAATATTTTAATAATAATACTAAATGCTATAAATGTAGAAAAATTATTTCATAGGAGTATGTCAGAATTATAGAAAATTTAAAAAAAAAAAACATGTACTGCAAATTCTAGATGGATACCCTAAAAGTACTGAAATAACTTGCACTGGTTAAAAAAAATGTGCTCTACTTGCAAACACACCCTATGTTGATCATTAATCACATCACAAATCATAGATGAAGTTACATGCGTAACTGAGCTTTCACTTTACAGGGGTTTCTTTCTCTTCCTTCCTTTCTCATCCTCTTTCCTCCCTCCTTTCCTTGCAGTGCTGGTGGTGGAGCAGGACCTTGCACATGCTGGATGAATATTCTAGACCAGCTCAGCTCCATTCCCCCAGCCCACCGATTTCTAAACACAGAAAAGGTAATGATAAGAATACTGACTGGCTGAGGTGGCCCCTGCAGCCCGGGAGGCTACAACAGAAGAATCACAAATTTGAGCCCACTCTGGGCAACTTAGCAAAACTGTTTCAAAAACAACAAATGAACAAAAAGGTCTGGGGCTGTAGCTCCACACACAGGCCCCAGTTCAATCCCTACCACAAGGGCGGGCGAGGGTGGGGGTGGGAACTTGAACGAACATTTGTTGGGTGTAGTGGCATATGCCAGTAATCCTAGTACTCAGGGAGGCTGAGTCAGGAGGATCGTAAGTTCAATTCCTATTTGAGCAACTTAATGATATGCTGCCTCAAAAAATAAAAGGAGCTGGGGATGTAGCTCAGTGGTACAGCCCTTCGGTTTGATCCCCAGTGCCAACAAAGCAAAACAAAACAAAGCAAAGCAAAATAACAAACCTCAACACTAGTCTGCATACGTTTCATTTGAAGTACCCGTACTGGTTTCTGTTTCTCTCCGACAATGGGAGCCAACTGCCTCAATACTTGAGAACACTGGATCCTTGCATGACAAAGAAACCCGCCACCTGCTCCCTGAAGTGGCGTGCCACACCTGGACAACCGGGGGTGCATGACTCGTCCTAGCAAGGCAGCTCCACGACAGCGGCTCAGCCACTGGAACAGTCACCTGGAGATGCCTCCTATGGTTTACTCTCCAAATACAAGGCAGCGATGCCTGGGTGTGAGGGTGCGCTTAGCACGGGCGCAGTCTCCTAAGCCCCATCTCCCGTCCTCCTGCTCAGCAACCCGCACAACTCCAAACTGCCCACTTTCCAATCTGACTCGTGTCGTGCATTTCTAAACACTGAAAACACAGGAATAAATTCCAGTGCTTCAGATAACATCTCCAGATTTTAGAAAGAACCATGTTAATCTTGAGGGCGATGGTTCTGAATAGTTTCACAATGTGGTAGTGTTAGACATCACCTCTGCAACACAGCGACGTACCTGAGTGACATACTGCGCCGGAAGCACTGCGTAGCCCACATTCCCCGTCCCTGGGGCGGGGGCCAGGACAGTGCCAGGAGGCAGGCTGGTGAGGTTGGGCTGGATCTGGGGCAGCGGCGTGGCGGGCATGATGAGCCGCTGCTGGGGCTGGCCACTGGTTACAATCTGTGATGCTGGATTGATCGGTTTGGGAACAACCTAAAAAAACAGGAAATTTTGTGCTCAATGGTCACAAAAATAAATTTTGTAGCTGCTCAATTCAGTATCACTCTCTTGTACCTAAATCTTAACTCTGAACTGGAGGAGTAAATTGTCACACGGGCAAAACCGAGAAAGAAGTCACGGGATACTCACTTGTTTGACAGCCTGAGCTGGGACGAAGGGGACTGACATCCGCACTGGGGTTGCATTAACAACCACTGGCTTCGCTTTTAAAAGAAGAAAACACATGAACAATTCATAGAAAACAGTACTCAAAACCCTTTTAGACTCCTTCGCTCCCTCAGGTGTCCTCAGGAAGGAGCATCAGGAACCCCATTTGCTGTCGACTTTGTGCCATCTTTAACCGGAGAGTTACCATCCAGAGCTGCCCAGCCCGACCACAAGAGAACTCGCATCTAAGCAGCCACAGTCGGTCTCCAGGCCAAGGAAGCCTGTAGGCTCAAGAAGCACCCGTCCCAACGTCAGAAACCATGCCAGCAAGTGTCTGAGGCTGCCCAGCTTTCTAGATACAAGTCTGCCCTCGTCAGGGGCGCAGGCCCTGCTGAGGAGGTCGGCCACACATACCGGGCCAGGGGCCCCGAGACTCACACAGCAGTGGGGGGTGTGCGCCTCTCGCCCTTGGTAAGCCCTTCTCAGGAAATTAGGGCCTTGGGAAGGATGCTAATACACTTGATGAGCTAGAGCAACTCACTAGGATGCCTCTAGTAAAAGCTACAAATTGATCTCATTACTCCTATAAAGTAACACGTAGCATAGATACGTACTCAGATCTCTTACAGGACAGGAAAGAAAGACGAAAGGGATATATTCAGCTGAATGAAGGGAAACTGCACGGCAGGATGTGTGCTGGGCTGGAGGAAGGCACAGAGGGAGAGGTGAAGGACGCGGCGGGACAGAGAACAGAGAGACGAGAGGACAGGACGGTGGCATGCAGGCAAGGGGAGTGGTCAGCCCGTGTGGGGGTGCACACCTGTGACCCCAGCACTGAGGGAGGCTGAGAAAGGAGGCTCGTAAGTTCGAGTCCAGCTGGGCAACCTAGCAAGACCTTGTCTCAAAGTAAAAAATATAAAGGGGCAGAGCAGCCCCTGGGTTTGATTGCCCCAGTACAGGGGCAGGAAATGGGGGAGAGGAAGAAGCTCAAGGAAGAAGCTGGGGAAATAGCAGCATTGCCAGAAGAGAAAGAAGGTGGACATAATGACAGACACGAAAGTAGAAAAGGAGCGCCAGGCCAGACACTGGAACCCTAAGTGTACTACCATTCTTCCACCTGCCCAGGTCTCCAGCTCCCTCCATCCGCCATCAAAAGCTTGTTCACACTAATGAGAAAACAGGTGAGCCATGTCCTGGGGGGAAATGGATTCTCCACCTGCACACACACACGCACACGCACACGCACATGCACCCTTCATGCACAAGCGCCAGCGGAGTCAAAGGCTGCTCTCCACCGTCAGGCCAGCTACACCCTGGGCTGGCGACTTCTCGGCCCCCATGAAGTAAGCACTGCATGGCGAGAGAATAAAACTGGATACCCTCAGTCAATTTCATGAAGAATGCTATGAAAAGATTTTCTTCCAAAATCATTTTAGAATGGGATTAGAAAATATAATTACTTGACGTGTCCAATTTAGTAGAATACATAAGAAAATGCTGTTGACTCCATTTTCTCAAAGGCAAATGAGCTGCTAGCAATAGGCAGCTCCAATTCTGATGTCTTAGTAAGATGAGAAAGCAACCAACTAGTCTTTGTGTCCTACCACAGAGCTATATCCCAGCGCCTCTATTTACTTTAATAAACATTCACCATTCACTAGCCATCAACTTCTTCTGTTTTTGAAAAACACACACACACACAAACACACGCACACAGGCCTTGCTATGTAGGTCAGGCTGGCCTCAAACTTGCAGCAATCCTCCTGCCTCAGCCTCTCAAGTGTTGTGATTACAGGTGTGTGCCACCACACCTGGCCTCAGTTGCTTTTTGACACTGCTGGAATATAAAGCAGTTTTCCATAGAAAAACTCAAGCTCTAAACTATAAATACCCTGACTCTTTCGTGACATTCAGTTTCTTACAAAGTAAATAAATATGAGAAAGGTTACGTATGTGTCTGGGTTTGATGCAGGTGGTAGGAAGGATTAAACAAAAACAGAAAACACAAGGACCACAAAGAGGGATATCTTCTAGGAAAACTACAACTGAGCAAAGCAACAGAACATTTTAGTCACTTTATATTAGCAAATATAGATTCAAAAGAAGTACTATTCAAACTTAGAGAAAAAGCAATATTAAGTCCTTATTTATTTGGATCTTGCCTATTTCTCATTTCAACTGACCCAAATTGTACCAAGGAGCTAGGTTTCAAAACTAAAATAACTAACTTTTATTAATTATTTCACTATCAGAGCCAGGCGTGGTGGCGCACACCTGTAATCCCGGCACTCAGGAGGCTGAGACAGGAGGATTGTTGAGTTCGAGGCCAGCCTGGGCTACAAAGTGAGCTCAAGGTCAGCCTGAACTGTGTAGCAAGACCCTGTCTCAAAAAAAGAGAAAAAAAAATTATTATTTAAAATTATTTTATTAATTAAAATAAATGATTTCAAGTACAGTAACTGTGACTATCCAGTATTACAGCACACCTCTAGCTACTCATCTCCAGCAGGAGGAAATGCTCGTTATAGGCCGCTTTGGTCTAGCTCACCATCTTCTTCAACAGCTGCGGGTTCCAACTACCAGCTGAAATGAGCATTTGATCAGAAGTCCAACAAGAAAAGGACCCATACGCTTAACAGCTCTAGCACTCATCGCTACTTCGAACAGCGGGTACTCACCTTGCTGCAGGGGCTGGGTGTTGGTGCTGGGGTTCTGGCTGGTGGGCGGGGTGGAGCTGCTGGCGGTGGTGGCGGTGACGAGGCGGACATAGTGGAACTTGCTGCCAGGCACTTGGATCTGCTGGACATTGGGCGAGGTGGCCAGAGGAATAATTGTCTTAAACTGCGATGTGCTCACGCCTCCGACCGTGATAGTCTGCACAGCTGATTTCACTGCCTGTTAAACCACAGGACATTAGCATTATTCCGGGATGCAACTTTCCTGCTCTTTGGCCTTAGGACAGTCGCCCAGGGAATAAAGAATGTTCCTGAACTTCATCAAAAACTGCTGGAAGAAACAAGCTGTTCCAAGAGAAATGAAAGGGAATGATAACGAATGTAAGGGTGAAATCTAAATGTATGAATTCTTCCTCCCATTGCTAATAGTTAACCTGCTTGATCATCCAGCTCACAGGACTTGCTATGGAGAAATTACTTCTTAATTTATAAGAACTCCCACAATTTTGACACTGTTAGGTAAAATTTGTAAGAAAGAAATTATTTTAAAATTCCCACGGTGAAGTTCCATATTCCAAAGAGAAAAGGATAGAGGTATCTCCGCCAAAGTAACTGTAATAAAGTTTATATTCACTTGCTCCAAAGAAGAAAAAGAGCCCTCCCCGCAATCCTGGAAAATACCCTTACCAGGCCCGGTGCACGCTGAAAGGCCAACCATCCCCACCCCCAGAGGCGAAAGGACCCACTTAACCTGGGCAGCATGCAAATTCAGTATGAAACCACCCCATACTGGTTATCTAGGGAAACTTACCCGTTTTAGGTGAATCGGATCTTAGCCAATATAATCATTTTAATTAATTTTAACCCTTTCCTTCAGTTTCACAGAAAGCAGCGAGACTTCCCCCAAAGCTGAACGAAACATCAGACGCACAGCAGGAGAAATGAGTCCTCTGGGAGGCCCCTAACACATGCGGCTTACTGCATCCGCAGCCCAGGCCCCAGCAAGGTCCTCCCACTGGCTGCACATGGTATTCTCTAAAGGGCTGTGTTTCACCTGCTCTGCAGAAAGCCTACACGGTGGAAGACAATGGCCACACAATGGAGGCTCTTTCCTGTACTCACTATGAGAAAAATAACTTCTGAAAGTCATTCTTAAATGTTTCAACATTTCTAGAAAAGCCCAGGAGAAAACAACGGAGAGCGTCCTCTGACGTTCAGTCGAACGCGTTACAGTCCAAGGGGATGATTTCGGCCTAATTAACGTATGATCACTTGGCAGAAGCACTGAGAAGCCAACTCACAGACACAGCTCACACCCGCAGCAGTCAGTGAATGACATGAAAGCAGGAAGCACAAAGAATACAATGCACAGACACGCAAGTTGCTGCACACTCCAGCAACCTATGGGGCTAACATGTACGTTGCCATCTACCAGCTCAACACGGGAGGGGGCACTACAAGACGCCTGGAACAGTAGCAGTTCTGCCTGTCAGGCACTTGACACATGAAGGGAATAGTCACAAAAACATCATGCGGGGGCCGGGGATGTAGCTCAGAGGCACAAGTGCTTGCTTGGCAAGTGCAAGGTCCTGAGTTCAATTCCTGGTACAAAAAAAAAAAAACCAACAACCCATGTGGACTAACCAGTTTGAATCTAGCAGCTGCGTTCTGAGTTAGGTGGAGCTCGGCAAGATGCACAGTGCTGTCTTTTTTCCTAGGTTGTATGTGCTTAAGGTGACTCTGTCATGGACACACGCATGCTAAATGGTCTCACACCAGGGAGGTGAGGTACCCCATCCTCTCACACAGTTGCCCTTTTCTGTTTTTGTGCAAGAGCAACTAGAAAGGGTTAACACCACAGGAATCCTAAACACAGTCCAACTGTATCATGTCCAACTGTATCCTGTTGCTATAGGAACCCTGGACTAATTCATCTTCCATATATGCTACTTATCCTCGCCCCTCCTCCCCACTTTCTCTGCTGCCATTGTGGTCCCCAGCCTCCCGGGAAATGTAGATTTGTTCTGCTTTGTACATGTGCTCTTTCGATTAGATTCCATTAAGTGATCTCTTCTCTTTATGCTCACGTACGTCACATAGCATAATGCCTTCAGGTTCATTCACTCTGTGACAAATGGCAAGTTCTTTTTTCAAGGCCAAATAATATTCCACTGTGTGTGTGTGAGGGAGAGAGACAGGGAGACAGAGATGGGGACTGATTGATTCTGTACCCACCAAAGTGTCAGTGGACACTTAGGCTGTTTTGAGCGACCTGCAGTGACATGGGCTACCTGTGTCCGGGAGGCGGTGACTTCATTCCCTTTGGGTTTACATCCGCAGCAGAGTAGCTGGGTCACATGGTGGCAGCTTTCTTCCCTTGAGGTAGAGCACTGCTCTGTGGCCCGGGCAAGTTTCCAACTCGGAGGCTCAGCCTCCTGCATGGATGGGGTGCTGACACACACCAACGCACCGGCTGACGTTTAACTGCTGTAGAAACTCCAGCCTCCCCTTGCACTGCACCAACCTGCAGTCCCCCCAGCACTGTGTGGGGCTCCCTTGTGTGTCACACGCTGGGGGACACAGATCCTTCAGCGTTTGGTCGGCAGCCACCCTACCAGGCGTGAGGCAGACTCACCCTGTCCTGGTAATGACATTGAGCACCTTCTCATCTACCTGTCAGTTTTACATCTTCTTTGGAGAAATATCTTTTTGGGCCCTTTGCCCATTTTTCAATTGGGTTATTTGTTTTTCTTCTTATGAGTTGTACGAGTTCTTGGAAATTTTGGGTGCTGGCCTCTTACTGGGTACATGGTTTGAGAAGATTTTTTTCCCCAATCCATGGACTGGTGTTTCCTTTGCTGTGCACTGCATCTTCGTCTGACGCAGACCCACTTCTTTATTTTTGCTTCTACAATGTTCCCTTTTGGTGTGATACCTCCCTCCCTGCCAAAAAAAAAAAAGTCACAGCCAAGGCCAATACCCAGGAGCTCCTCCCCGTGGAATGCTGCGAGTTCCGGGCTTCCACTCTTCCACCAGGCCTTTCGTCCACTTTGGGGTGGTTTTGTGTTTGGGGTCTGACAAGGGCCTGGCCTCATCCTCTTGCATGCGGCCAGCTCATCCCCACGCACCCTTTCCGTAGCCTGCCCTTCCCCTGCTGGCTACTCTGGGTGCCCTTGATTACATGAGTGGGTTTATCTCTGGGCTTTCAATTCTGTTCCGATGGCTTCTGTGTCTGGATTTTATGCTACTCCCATACTGTTTTGACTGCTACAGCTCTGAAATCACTTTACGCTAATTTTAAGTCAGGAAGTGTGATGCCTGCTCTTTTGAGATTTCATATGAGTTGCAGGATTGTTTTCTGTATTCCCATGAAGGCTGCCATCGAGACGTGCATAGAGACAGGGTCCACATTATCACAGTGCTAATAACTCTTCTGATCCACGAGCATGAATAGCGCTCGTCCATTTGCACCTTCTGAAATTGTATTCATCAGTGTTCTTTTTTCTATCTCTTTACATTCGCCTTTCTGAATCCTACGCTTAAAGTAATAACTTTTACACACTGTATACAACTGGATATTTTTAAAGGAAAAAAAAAAAGACTTGCCAGGCATGGTGGCACACGCCTATAACCCCAGCACCTAGGAGGATGAGGCAGGAGGATCACGTGTTCAAGGCCAGCCTGGGCTACACTGTGAGTTTATGGCCAGCCTCACTACGTAATGAGGTCCTGTCTCAACACAATATAACACAACACAACAGAAAATCTAGACAGTCAAGTTCCATCATTCCCTGGCTTACAGCCTTAAGTAAGTAACAACTTCAGAAAATGGGAAAACGATGCTTTTCTAGGGACTACTGGAAAGATGGAGTGAGCTAAATTGTACAAAATACAAGTTACAATGGTACTTCATTTATGAACTTAATTTGTTTTATGATTTAGGGGGAGATGTCTATGGTGGTCGTGTTTGTTACCTGTTGCGAATTTCCAAATGGAAAGAAAATTTTGCCGAACACTTCGGTTTGCAAACCAACTGTTTGCCACCAGAAGTGCTCATAAACTGAGGCACTACTGTGTAAGTAACATGTCATACACATAAGCGAGCCACTCTGTATTGCCACTAGTATGACTCCTTTAGATAGGGAGACCGAAACTCAGACAGATGGAGTGACTTCCCCAAGGCCACACAGCTAGCAAGGAGCATGGCCCTCGATTTGAAGCAGATCTGACTCCAACACCCATTCTCTTAACCAAGGCATTATACTGTGTTCCACTACAGATGCCCGATGAAGTTACTTTTTCTTTAGGTTTTTTTATTAGCCCATGTTTGCGGTACATAATGATTCCATTCCTGGTGGGGAGTTGCTGCAGGTATGTAACACGTCGTAGCTCTTTTTTCATCCACTCTGTTATTAAATAATTAAATAAAACAGCATCCAGTCCTCAAGGACTATGTTAAGAACTAAAACCATACATCTGTCACAAAGGAACACAACGTTATTTTTTAATAGGACATAATTTTTTAAAAGTTTAAAATTTCTATAATAATTTTAGACATACAAGAACAGTCTCCCGTACCCTTCCCCGATATAATAACATCTTGCCATCCCCTGCACGTTACCCAAACCAGAGCCCAAGGTTTGGTACAACACTGCTGCATACACTACAGAACACTGCATTCGGAGGCCACCCGTCCGCACGTGTTTTGGTGTCCTACTCTAGGTAAGCATATCACCTACACAGACTCAGGCAATCCACACCACCTACCCAAGAAGCCTCCCCAGCATGATCTGTCAGTCACACTCACTCAGCTCTAAGCAGGCAACCACGGGGGAAGACGCACTGTCAGCACTTGGAATGCTAAGTAGCTCATAAAAGTTGATAGTTACAAACTGCAAAAGACAGACGCACTAAAGCACACTTCACTACTGGAAAGAGCTGTCACAAGCTGTCTCTCTTCTTGAATTAGAGGCCTGAGAAACTCCACGAGAGCTTCCTGAACACACTCTCCGCCACTCACAAAGCACCTTGCACGGCTCTTTCCTCAGCTGCAGCTCTAACAGTAAGACAAAAGTATCCTAACTGAACGTCAAAACTGCTATGCTAAACATGTTCTTAAAACTGCAGACTCCAAGGATTTGTTTTAATTTGTATTATTTCCAAAGCCATTTCTACTTACAGATTAATATCCCCATTACATATTTAAGACAATTTCTTTGT